AGTTATAAATATTTGATTTTAAAAAAAATCAAGATTTTAAACTTTAAAGGTATTAATTATGATTATCTTTCTTTAGCTTTACATGCTGTATGCTACTTTTGGAAACTGCTCTATTGTATTAGAATGTTTTTAAATTTTGCACCTAAAAATGCGTGATATTAAAAATTAAGGTATTAATTATGATTATCTTTCTTTAGCTTTACATGCTGTATGCTACTTTTGGAAACTGCTCTATTGTATTAGAATGTTTTTAAATTTTGCACCTAAAAATGCGTGATATTAAAAATTAAGGTATTAATTATGATTATCTTTCTTTAGCTTTACATGCTGTATGCTACTTTTGGAAACTGCTCTATTGTATTAGAATGTTTTTAAATTTTGCACCTAAAAATGCGTGATATTAAAAATTAAGGTATTAATTATGATTATCTTTCTTTAGCTTTACATGCTGTATGCTACTTTTGTCTTTGAGACATTCCATGATTTAAGTTAAGAAGCTTTAAAAAAAATGCAAAAAAAAAATAAAATGTTATAAAATAAAAAAATTTTTAGTATCGATAATCTGAAATATGTTGTTTACTTAAGCCGCTAGCGAAGCGAGCGGCTTAGTTTCGTAATTTCATACAATCTTTTTTCGAATCTGTTCTTTTTGTCAACCGCGAGCGAAGCGAGTGGCTTTTTATTTTTAAAATTTTTTTTTCTTTCTTACTTTTTTTTCCCTTACTTACAAATTTGATAGTAACTTACCAAATCTCTCTATCATATAATAATAAATTAATCCATTTTTTGTTTCAAATCTGACACGTTACATTTCTGATATGTAAACTTGTCAGTTTTCACTTCACCTCACTGGGCAAGTTTGTGCCTCCCTCCTCTTGAAGTTCATACACAAACAACATAATTTTTCAAAATCCAATTTTTTCAAAAAATGTATGCATTCAAAAGTTCAGATTATATCTAGTCATTATCCATTATTAATTTTGAATTTGATTTTTTGAGATATTCATTTTATTATACGTATTACTCAGAAAATTAAATGTATTTGTGAGGGAAAACGGAGAAGATAATAAATATTGTCATATAGATGAATAAGCAATTTTAAGGAAAATATTAAGTTTAGTAATTTGTGTATATCTTGTTATGTAATGCATATTTTCGCGATCTGACGGCAGAAATCGAATCAGCGGATCCTGAAGAATCAGATTACGCGGGAAAAATAGGTTTTGAACGCTTAGATAGGGCTAAAATGATGTTTTATGAGGTGTGGTGTATAAATATAGTTTTTGCGATAATATGGCATGAGATCAGAATATGAAGTGAGTATATATGTGTTTTTTTTCACTGGTTTATATGTTGAGATAGCTCAGTAGAGTCTGTAAAATAGTTCAGTACATGCTATAAGTTAGATAAAGCACAAAAAAATATGAAATAAATATTAATTAGGAAAAAATATAATGTAAAGATTGTATGTAAAGATACTTATATAGTATTTAAAATTTATTAAAACAAGAGTGCATATTACACTCTTGTCGGTCAAATTTTTGCAATCACATTCTGATCGCAACAAATTGTCTCATTCTGGGAGACATGCAGTGGCAATGTCTCCCTGAATGACACATTGTGACCGACAAGAGTGCATATTACACTCTTGTCGGTCAAAGTTCCGCATTCAAGTTATGAATGCGGAACAGTGTGCCAATCTGGGAGACATGCAGTGGCAATGTCTCCCTGAATGACACATTGTGACCGACAAGAGTGCATATTACACTCTTGTCGGTCAAAATACCGCTATCTGAACCCAATTCCGCACCAGTACCCCATTTTGCGATTAATCCAATGGGAATCACTTCCAACATTAGAACTTTATAGGTGGATCCCACTAATTTATTAAATTGTTCGATCTATTCCTGCATACTACTTTCAAATTAAGAAAGTTCTTGTCTAATGCATGAATATTTTCATATGCATTGCATCAATGATCTAACAATTTAAAGCTCGCTAACAATCTAAAGCAAAAAACAAAATGATCTGCTAACTATGCAGGCAGCTCAAGCGCACCAAGGGGAGGTGTTTTTCTGAATTGGGCGATCTTCGTGAGATCTCAGGAGGCGAAGATTCGGAACCCAACCGGCTTCAAGCTGTAACATCTTGCTAGCAGGCCATACATTTTTAAACAGCCTCTAACCGTTCATCTCGACCACATTATCGGCATTCATATATATATTTGAATATTAAGACAAATAAAACCATTTGTTTGATCGAAATTGAGTAATTTATTGTTAAGGATACCCTTACGTGTCAGATTTTTTGCGCATACGAAGAAGTCATGCTAGACATGAGCTATAAACCTGAAATTTTAGCAACATATTTAAAACTTTTTAAACTACAATACACTTTAATATTCAAGAACAAAAATATTCTTTTTAGAAATTACATAATTATTTTATGTGAAATCTATATAAAAACATATTTTGCGAGCGTAACTTTTTTCTTTATAAGCACCTTATATGACTGATAAACTGTGAAGGCACATAATTGTTAATTCATAGAGTTGATATGTTTCCAAAATTGAGAGGAAATTTGAAAATTGAATACCCTTTCAATTCAATTTTCAAAAGATATCAGCTCCTTCAATAATTGAAGGACGATTTTGATCATTTGCTCTTAAAACAAGTATGCCATGGAGAAAAAAGTTACGCTCGCAAATCTGAAATATAACTATCATATAAAAAAATTAAATTTCTAATTTTTTACTCTATAGATATTATTGGCCACTTGTGTAATGCATAAAAGTTTATGTCATATGCATACATTTGGAAGTATGGGAGACGAGGGAAATTACTTCTATGAGGCACTAGGATTTTTAAAAATTTCTCTATCGGACTCACCATTCAATTTCTCGAAAATTAAAAAAAATCAATAATAGCTAAAATGTATTATGCATAACAAATTTTAATGTTATGTAATAAACAGAAATTCATCAAAAGTGACAGCTCTCAATTTTTTGACATTTGTAAATTCTAAATTGAATGAGAAAAATGAAATAATACTAAGCATAATACAATATTCTAGATTTAATTATAATTAGGGAAAAGTTAGTTTTGAGAGTACTTTTCATAGGCATATAGAATGAAATCTTCTGAAAAATAATATCACATAAACTCATATTATTTTCTAATATATAACTATTTTATATAAAAATCAAATTCAATGATCTTAAAAGCGAAGGATAAACCTCAAAATTTACGAATATAATGAGTGGGAATATAATACTTATCTATCATAAAACCATATGAAATATTAATTTTTGCTTTACGCCTAATTTTTGACGACAATTAGCAAAAAATGTTAAATGTTAACACTCAGTCCATTTGAATATGAAAAATAAAATTGACTTTAATTAATATTTAAAAACGTGCTCTATCAAAAGTTCCAAAAATTCAATATTTTAGCTTTTCTGAGGTGTCACTTTTGATGAATTTCTGTTTACAACAGTTACACGGTATTTTTTGAACTTCATGACATGAATTTTCTTTATATTATTTTTTTTTTTTGGATTTTCTATGATTTATGCGATAGGCTGGAACAACATTGTAAGTGCAATGATATCATTTATAGAGAAATCTAAAACTTCAGCATTCAGAACTCGCAACCACAAAAATATTCATTTGCTAAGTAAGTAAAGTTGATTAAGTTCGACACTTAGCTTTTATACGTAAAACCAAGTGTGTATTGTTATTTCTTGTTAAATTATTGAGAAAAAAATAAATTGTAAGAGAAACGATACTGATTATTGAAATAATATTGAGGGTAGCTGCAGATTTCTTCATTAACATGCCGGAAATTTGTTAATCTTGGTTTTCTATCATAAAATCTGTCGAAGAATCTGAGAAAGGGACAGACTAGCCCATTGTCACTTTTTAATTTAGCAAATGAACGCTTATGGAGTGGAGTTTTTGGGTAAATCTGATTTGCTTATAAATGAAATAAAATCAAAAGAAACCATATTGGCATTATATTATGCAAAAATAAATGATCTTACTTAGTACTTTTAAAGTTAATTTCAGAAAAAATTTGACACAATGGTATCCGGCACATACAAGTGGTGTACAACCAAAATATAAGTTGGTTTAAACATATATTGCTATATCTCATGATCTTACTTAGTACTTTTAAAGTTAATTTCAGAAAAAATTTGACACAATGGTATCCGGCACATACAAGTGGTGTACAACCAAAATATAAGTTGGTTTAAACATATATTGCTATATCTCATGATCTTACTTAGTACTTTTAAAGTTAATTTCAGAAAAAATTTGACACAATGGTATCCGGCACATACAAGTGGTGTACAACCAAAATATAAGTTGGTTTAAACATATATTGCTATATCTCATAATCTTACTTAGTACTTTTAAAGTTAATTTCAGAAAAAATTTGACACAATGGTATCCGGCACATACAAGTGGTGTACAACCAAAATATAAGTTGGTTTAAACATATATTGCTATATCTCATGATCTTACTTAGTACTTTTAAAGTTAATTTCAGAAAAAATTTGACACAATGGTATCCGGCACATACAAGTGGTGTACAACCAAATCTTCGACTCGATGAACTTGTCATCGAGTTATATTCCAGTGTTGTTCCTTCATTCCTGATTAAGTTGCAAATTAAAGGTCTGGATTCAGAGAGAAGTGTTAAAGTTATCAAAAAAGTCACAAGAGATTTCGAAGAAATGACACAATTTAAAAAAGTCGAATGCATCAGTATGCTTGAAGCTGTTCAGAAAGGTCTGAAAAATGATACACTTGATCCCAACATTGTTTACTCAACATTAAAAATATTATTGCAAAGAAAACATTTGATTTAATAAACATTTAATTTATTATAATTAATTTTTATTACAGTATAGTAAAAAATGCTATAAATAAATTATTATATTTTATTAAAATGTGACTTTTAATAGTAAGTGAATAAAATAAATCAGGAATTGGGAAAGAAGTAAGGTTAATTAAAAATAATGAAAATTACAAGTTTAAGGTTAACGAAAAAGTGACAATGGGCGAGTTTGTCCCCCACTCCGAAGAATCTAAAAACGGAGATATGAAATAGAGATCATGTAAATCTAGAGTATCCTGTCAGAAAAATAGACTAAGCATGTAACCCTTTTTTGGTCATAAACACTTTTTACCACTTAGTCATACAGCTGATCATTAAATTTAAACGAGCACTTTTTGTCAGAATTTATTCTTTTACAAAGACAGAAGATTTTAGTATTATTAAAAAAAAAAAAAAAAAAAAGGTAGTGGGGCCTCCAGGCACTTCGTGCCCTCTAGCCCTGAAGATGTTTAGTATAACTTTGTCCGGACAAGTAAGGATCTATCGTCGCTACAGGAAAAGTTACAGGCGTTCCAAGGAAGTATACTTTGAGAAGCCTTTTCTCCATTTTAAAACAAGATAGGACGGTTATTTTACAAAACTGACAACACTTTTGACCGGATAGTTTTTTGTGCTGAACAAAAAGTGTCATATAAACATCTGTCAAAAACCGCTTTTTAACTTCACTTAAAATGCCACGTAAGCTACGTAAGAATATACGTAAGAGGAAGAGAGCATTGAAACATCCAATAGTAAAACTGACACCACAACAACAGTTGCAACAACAAATGATGAATGACCCCACTATGTTGCAACAAATGTCAAGCAACCCTATGCTTTTAAACCGAGTTATTGGTGCACAGAGTGGAGGTTTAAGAGCGGCACTTTTAGCGAAAATGGCAGGCTATGGTGGAGCTGCAGACGGAACAGCTTATAACCCTCAAAGTCAAATGAATTTGAGTTCACTCAAAAATCAAATAACAGATGTCAAAAAGTCAAACATAGACATACAGAAACAAATAAGTGAAAACGAAAAGAAACTAGAATATGACAGACACACAAAGAAACTCAATGAGTTAAACGTAGAGAAAAAGAAGAAAGAAGAACAACTGAAAGAACTAAGTACAGAGGAATATGCGAAAAAAGTGTCAGAAAAAGCAGCAGAAGTAGCAAAAATGGAACAAGATGTTATAAATTTGAAAAACCATACTACTCAATATAAAGTACTGAAAGATGAAGAGATAAAACAAAAAGCCCTGAAGACATATATGGATAGCGATGAGTATAAAAAAGAAGTTGAAGCAAATGTAAAGGCAGAAAAACTTTTACAGTTGCAAAACCAAACCGTACAGTATGAAAACTTAGCACAAGAAAGTAAAAATAACGACGCAGCCATGCAAAAGGCAATGAAAAGCGCAGAATATATAAAAGCTAATAATGACTGGTTAGATGCCCAAGCCAACGCTAAAGCAGCCCAACTTATAGGGTCAATAAGGACAAAAATACAAGCGGATGAAGACAGTTCAAATGAAGCTTTAATGAATGCTGACTTTAAGAACGCCTTCGAAGCTCTTCATAGTAAGGTGAAACTAGTGAACGACTTCTCATCTGGAAAGAAACTGAAGTCTGAAGGTTTCGACAACGAGTTAAGAGAAGTAGCACAAAATATGACGAAAATAACAGATGCAGCAACGAGACAGGCAGTTCAAAGTGCCTATGACGCCGTTAGAGCAACTGTTGTGGAAAGTCAAGAAAAAGAGTTACAACAGACTAAAACAGACCTAGTAAATGCTTTCTTAAAAACGAAAAGTCAGGTAGGACATTATGCTGCAGATGGAACATATGTGCCAGCTGGTGGAACTTATATACCACCAAACCCTCCAAGAGAAGCACCTGCACCAGGACTACCTAAAACATTTACATCGTCACATGGACACAGACACAGGCATGCACCAAAACCAACAGTTCAAAACACTGCACCACAACCAACAGTTCAAAACACTGCACCACAACCAACAGTTCAAAATCCAGCACCACAACCAACAGTTCAAAATCCAGCACCACAACCACAAACAGAGCAAGGACATAAAAGAAGTAGAGAACAAGGAAACCAAGAATTCTTAAAAATGCTTAAGGAAAATTATGGTTACCCAGATACTCTTGACTTTAGTGACAGATATAAAGAAGCTATTAGAAAGTTCAAGGAAGGAAATACTGACCCGAACCTATTTAGCTTTATGGTTCAGCACCAAATGGGATATAAATTCAAACCTGGAAAATACAAGCTCGCTAAGGGATATGATTTAATAGCATATCATCCAAATGACATGGATGAATTTACTCCGAGATATTTGGTGTCAGAGATAAATGATAATTCAACTATCTTCATGAAACGCGTAAAAAATAGAGACGGAACGAAAGAAGAAAGGGTTATGAATGCGGATGGCTTAAATAGGGAACTTGTTAAAAACGGTCTCGGAATATATGAAATGCCAGCAGATGAGGTACAAGAAACTCCACAGGAAGAAGTTCAGATACAACCAGACATGGAAGAAATAGTTCAGCAACAACAGCTAGAAGAGCCAGAAGGAAACGAACAAATCCCTCCTTTGGAAACTAACTTCACAGAACTAGATGAAGATTTGGAACAGCCGAAAAATCTTGACCCTCAACAAGAGTATGCGGAGAATATGGAATCTTTCCAAGAGTCTAAGAAAAATTCAGCTGACATAGTAGAAGAATATCGAAAAATGTTCGCCGACATACAAAAGACTCCAACATCAGATGAAAATATTCAGCATAGAATGGAAGTACTGAAAGAAAGTGTACGCAAATACAACAATCCTTTTTACTTACGACCATATAACGTTCAATCTTTGGCTGAACTCGGTGAAAATAAAAGGTTAAATTTCACCAAAACATATAGAAATGAAACATTGTTTAAAGTTCATTCAGAACCTAACCAATATGGAAACAAACCTACTTTTGTTTCTGCAGACTATGGAACTACAATGAGATGGGGTCATAAAGCTAATCCGGATAGGTGGTTCATAAACTTACAACCACAATTCCAAGAAGTTGTAGACGCAATGGAAGTGAATGGTGAACCAGATATAGCTGGTATTTTCAGCGCGGCTTTAATGCCATTGAAAGATATGAAACATGCAGATATTTTGGACCAGTATGAAATGAACATGGCTGATGGAAATATAACACCTGACGTTCTAGAACATTTATCTCAAAGAACTACACAGAACCATAGAGATGGTATATTTGGTGAAGAGTTTAGAAAGAAAGTTAGGGAGATAGAAGGAAGAGAACCTATTGTACATGACCTTGCAAACGAAAGTTTACAAAATGTCATAAAAACTTACTTTGCAGACAATGAACTGAGAAGGGATGAATATTTAAGAAAACTCAAATGGACAGTACCAAATGAAATGTTAGTATTGAAAAACATGTTCCTTGACAAAATAAAACCAACTACAGAAATAAATGACGCAAGACTGAAACATTGGGTAAAAGCTTTCCCATTCACAAAAGATATTATTGGTAACATGGAAAGAAAACCAGAATGGCTACAAAAACATATATTTGGAAACGAGCTTATTCCATATGGACAAGCTCTGTTTGAAGAGCTTGAACCGGAAACTCAGGAAAGAGTCATGCAAACAATACGCGAAGACTCAAATACAAACTATGACAAAATCTTTCTAGGATATAGGTTACCTGAGATGGGCGACCAGAGCCCAAAGGCAAAAAGGACATGGGAAATTTACAACATACTAGGTGAACATGAGGCAAAGATGCAACAACTTGAAGCAGAGGGCAAGTTACCAAAAGCGACACCAAAGAAGAAGAGAAGAGTAGAACAAAGTGAAAGTAGTGAAGAAGTAACTTCATCTAGTGAAAGTAGTGGCAATGAAGGAAAAAGAAGAGTTAAAAACTCAGTCAGGAAGAAAGTAAAGCTTGGTCCGAGTGGGTTCTATTATGACACATAAATCCAACTATTCTATATTTTTACCCATATGAAATGTACGCCGCTCAGAATATAACGCCAACAGTTTTGGATGCCATGAACGGAAATGTTTCCGAATGGTATAACGAATGCGACAATGCCATTAGAAGGTCAGAAATAGTTCCTGGAACTTACGAATATACAACTGCTGTTTCTTATGGAAACGTAGGTGAGTTTGGAGAAGGTTCTTCAACAACAGTAGATATTGCTTGCGACAGGTTTCATATTATTTCTATTGACAACTCATTCTTATACGTGGAACAAGACATTGAAATAAAACCTTCTGCCAAGTTGTCTGACAAGAAAGGTTGCAATGGAATTTTCTATGTCGGATACCAATATGCTCCAGAAGTTTTCATGGGATATAAGATATATTCTAACTCTGACTTAGTTCAAACAGTAACATGGGCAAACTATGAATGGTTCGCTTTGAGAAACTCAGTACAACCACAAGCTAGAGAACAAACAGACCAGTATGCCTATTGAGAAATAAGAAGACTTGACCCTAACGTTCCAGGAGTTTATGTTAACCTTTCTGGTTCAGATGGAACTGCTGCCACTAAAGTAAAACTGAAACTTAGAGTTCCTTTGTCATCTTTCCTCATCTTCAGGTTTTTAAGATACTTGCCAAACTGGGCAGGAAAAATTTCTATTGAACTTACTCCAAGCAAAAATAACTTAGTCATTGCACCAACACAAGACCCATTCAGCATTACTGTAGCTGGAACTGGTGGAGCCAAGTTCTGTGACTTTTGCAAAGACAAAGTTGACTTAGACTTTGGTTTCTCAAACTTCAACAATGAAGTAAACTATTATTTCAATGCTGCTGGAACTGCTTGGGACCCAGTTAAGTTCACATGCGAACAGTTTGAATGCAAGAGAATAGAAAGCAGACTTGCCGTTTATATGTTGGACCCAGATATTTCAAATGCTTTAGCTGCCAAATATATTGCAGTTCCACTTATGTTCCCTATACACCAAATATCTGTCAAAGACTTTGCAGGTGAAGTTGGAAACCAAAGTGCTGACCCAGGTGCAAGAACAGATATTGCTTTAACAACTGCAATGAAACATGCAGATACTATGTTTGTACTGTTCAGACGAACTATAAATGACTATTCTTGTTTCTACAACCCTGGTATTAAATATCATATAAACATAGATGGCAAATATTATCCAAGAGAAGAATATTCTACAGTTGAGGATATGAGGTCATACAACTTGACATTAGATGCTATGAACTTTAACAACAACTTCACAACAACCATTAACCCTGAAATGCAAAGTTCTATTATGCCATATGTGAAAGTATGGACTCATACAGGAGGTCAAAAAACTCAATATACAAATGGAGACCGTTCAAACTTTTGGCTTGGCATTCCATTTGCTGACTCAGAAGACTTTATGGGTGGTATTTCAACTGTTGGTACTGTACAAATACAATATACTGGTGACAGAGACGGTCCAGATGAACTGAGAGCAAAGAAGTTTACAAAACCAATAGCACTTTTCACGGAAGATGCTCTTTTGAAGATTCGTTCGATGAAACCTGCTGGGGCTCCTCAGATTGGCATAACGACAGCTTCCATCGAGCAGATTTTGGCAGCAGGTCAGTAAGTTGTTCTTGAACTGACTTCTCTCCGTCAAATATTGACAGTACGCCAGTTTTGACATAATATTGTAAGATAAACTTACCTTTAGAAATATCTGTAAGTTTTGAAGTTATATTTTTGTCTGCTTCAAGAACTTTCACCATTTCAGTTATACCAACTTTCTTTGCTTTATGAAAATATTTAGGTTCAGCAAAGACTGCTATTCTATAACATTTACCATTGTTTGTATAAAGAACTATTCTGTCAATGTATTTGTATTGTTTGTGTGTGTAAACTTTGTTCTGCTTCAATTCGAAGAGATACTCGAATACGTCCATCTTTTTATTCTAAGTAAAATGTCATTTCCGAAAAATAGAAGCGTGAGTGTTTCAAAAGGTTTAATGGCGGTGGCAGATGTGAAGTTAAATTCACCAACTCAAACAAACAGTCAAAGTGTTATTGTCAATGTCAAAGACAGAGATGTTGAAGTGGGGAAACCATACGAAGACGAAGATGGTATAACAATTGTTCCTGTAAAAGAACAACCAACATATCCTGAAGTTAGCAGAGACTTAAGTTCTGTTGCAGATATTCGAAACGACTACCAACAACTGAAAGACAAACTTCAAACTCAGGAGAAGATTTGTCAAGCTTTAAGTATAATGTTAAACTTGGTCGAACACAACCCTGTAAAAGTGAACTCATATGTCATTGCACCTCATGAAGTCTTGAAAGAACTATTGAAACTTTTGACAGAGGCAGACGATATAAACATCAAAGAAATAGAACCCGACATTAGTTGCTGTGGTGTTTCATATAATGTCATTGACAAGATATACGTTATGAAAGGAGGTGAAACGTTGAACTTAAAGTATAGTTTCCCAGACGTCATAAAAATATTTGACGACCACAACATTTCATTAAAATTTATTTGCTAAGTAAATGGCAGAAAACATACTTCTGTATACTATAACAACAAAGAACCCTGAGTCATATAACTCTATAACTACATATCTTCAAAGTCCTCAAGGAAGATATTGTAAACTAACCTTAAACACAATGACAACTAAAGCATGTTTTGCTCTTTTGACTCCAGATGACTATATTGTTGTGAATGGTATGAAATACTATTGGGAAGATACATATTCTGAAATACCACCAGGTGGTTTTGTAGACCTGTTTAACCAACTTTTTCCAGATAAAAATATTTTAAGTTCTATAACACATGCGGGAACTATAAACTTTACTGGAACTTTTCCTTTCATTTTAAATGACATGAGTTATAATGCAAAACTTATTTCAGGGTTTTACAACCAAACATTTCCTATAGAAGCAGAATGGAATAATGGATATTATATTGTAAAAGGTTTGTCTGTTCCGTTGACTTTAAGTACACCTATTTTATATATTGTTTCAAACTTAGGTTCAAAGTGTTATTCGAATGTCGACAGAAACTATTATGACCAAAAGATACTTATGCGTATAAAATAACACATTCTCTGCTGGTTTGCCTATTGTTCATTCGAATGCAGAGTTTTCAGCTTTAGTAAACTCAAACACTTTAGCAAACATAAATTTAACCTTAGTTGACGCAAACTTTGTTCCCGTAAAACTTTTATGTCCTATGTATATTTCTATGACAGCAGAAAGTATAGAATTGGAAGATGCAACCGGTGAAGGTATTGTATTACAAGACCAAATGCCTCAAACTCAGCAACAAATGCAAGAAATACCTCCTGAGATGCAACAACAAAGTCAAGAATAAAAAAAAATATTTTTTTATTTTTATAAAAATGTACAGAATAGATGTTTCAGATTTTTATGACTTCCAAGCATTCAGAAATATGTGTCCATTTAGAGACTATAACAAAGCAGTCGAGAATTTGAAACGTTTAGTCATTTATGTTGACTCTGCCCCAGAATGTTATGTCATGAAAGAATGGGATGTTGTCTTTAACAAACCTAAAGCGACAATAGTTTCAGAACAAGAATGTAGACAGAAACTTAAGAAAATAAAAGTCGTACAAGTTGGCATGAAGATGTTAGATGCTTGGGATATCTTATTGTCAAAGTTAGAAGATTTTTAAGTTCGAGGTATAAAGTTCTATACACCTTCTCCAAACTTCTATTCTATCTTCACTGGATATAAATATGAACAAGTAGAATGGAAAGAAAATATTATAGAAGCTTGGTTAGACCATGTCAAAGAAATTATATGCAATGGAAACGAAAAGGTTTATGAGTATATCTTATGTTGGTTTGCAAACATCTTACAACATCCAAGTGCTAAAAATGAAACTGCTCTCATTATAATTGGAAAACAAGGAACTGGTAAGAACACATTCTTTACAGATATTTTGTGCAAACTGTTAGAGGGCTATTCGAATCCGAATATGACAAACTTAGAAAACATCTGTGGCAAGTTTAACTCCTCAATAGAGAATATGAAACTTATAGTTTGCAATGAACTTCAAAGTATAGATACAACAAAAGTTTTGAACTCAGATGCTTTGAAGAGTCTTATAACAGACAAAGTTGGAGTTGTTGAAAGAAAGTATAAAGACCAAAGAGTTTGTGAAAATGTTGCAAACTTCATTATGGTTTCAAACAATGCTGTTCCGATGAAGTTAGAAAGTTCTGACAGAAGATATGTAGTTGTCAGAACGTCAGAAGCTCATATGCAAGATACAGAATATTTTGACGACTTAGCAGAAACTTTGACATCTGACTTTTACAACCACTTGTTCTCATATTTTATGACATTAGATATTTCAAAGTTCAATCCAAGACAAATTCCACATACCGAAGAGAGACAAACATTGTTAGAAGCAAACAAGAGTGTATATGAACTGTTCATAGATGAAACTGACTTTGAGTGTTTAGATGAAAGGTCATTGTACGATTCGTATAAACAATATTGTCAAGAATATGGTTATATGACAGCGTCTAAACGAACATTCTTGGCAAATGTCAAAAGTCTTTTAGACGTACAGAATGGTGTATATACAAAGAAAAATTTTTATGAGTAAATTTTAAAAAAAATATTTTTTTATCCGATAGAAAAGATGGCAAAATTCATCTCAGTAAACAAGTACATGTCAGGACTTAAAGAAGAACTAGACCCATTCACATATTTGAATGTTTACTTCTACCATTTTGAAAAGTCTTCATTCAGCAAAGTTTGGAACATCGAACCAGTTAAGTTTGCTATTGTGACTAAAAATGGTGCGAAATTTGAAGACTTAGACATAGAAGGTTTGTTAGCAGTCAAAGAAAGTTTTGACAGAAGGTTTTCAAACCTTAAAGAAGGCAAAGCATACAAACTTGTTATACCTTATGAACCAAAGAAAGCAGACGACTATAAATATTATGAGTCTAAGATAGTTGAAGTTCAAGGTAAATTGGGTAAAAAGATTTTAGAGTCTAAGCCAGTGTTTGCTCCTAAAGAGGAAGAGAACATTGACATTGACCCAGAAATGTTCTAAAAATAAAATTTTATTTTTACATGTCAAATTTCTTTTTCTCTGGAACTGGTTCAGGTTCTTTCTTCTCTTCTTCTACTTTCTTTTCTTTCTTTTCTTTCTTCTTCTTTTCTGGTGGAGTTATGTCAAATTTCTCCGAACCATATTTATGTAAAAGTTCTTTGTCCTTTAATAGCTCTTCTATTCTGTTTTCTATTTCATCTTCAAGAACAGCGCATGTGTCTTCTTTGCATTCTAAGAAGTTTTGTTGGACTTCATCTCTCCAAGAGGCGTCATCTCTGTCAACAAGTCTGTCATTGACAAATTTTAAGACTTCTCTGCTTAATGTTTTATGGTTCTTGTCATATTCCCAGAAACAGAACTTTAGAACAAATTCACCTTTCTTGTTTACACTATGTAAGATTTTATGGTCGACAGATGTTTTGCTGTCGAAAAGCTTGTCTCGAATATAGATAGCGAAATCGCTAGACATTTTCTAAAAGATAAAAATTTTAATTTTTCTAAAAATATGTTAGAAAAAAAGTTTGCTGACATTGACAAGAAATTTGAGAATGTTTTAAACAAGAACAAGAGGAAGTTAGAAAATGCTCAGATAAAGCCTATACATGACAAGTTCTTATTTGCTCAGAATGGTATAACAGGTCTAATTGCACCACCTGGGTCGGGTAAGACTTTCACTTATCTTAAAATGGCTGCACAACAACAAGAACTAGATGAGAAGAACCCATTCTATGAGTTAGTTGTCATTTGTAGTACTTCTGGTCAATTTGACCAAACCGTCAATTCGTTCAAAGATATTATAAAGAAGTCTAAGTTAGTATGTATAAAAGACTCTGAGTTGTTAGATTGGATAAAGAAGTACCAAAGAAGAGTTTTGAAGTATAATGCTATAAATGAGTATATAAATTCTAAGTTTAAAGACCCAAATGAGGAAATGCAGAGAATATTAGAGAAGAAACACTTCAGAAACAAACAGAAAGAGATAGAATACATTTCGAAGAAATTGCAATCTTACGATTGGAAGACTTACCCTCATAGATGTCTTCTTATTTTAGATGACTTTGCTTCTCATCCTTTGTTAAAGAATAGAGAACAAGATATGTGTCGAATTCTTAAGAAACTTAGGCACTTTAACATTTCAGTCGTAATATGTGTACAGACAGCAAAGAGTTTAAGTAAGGATGTTAAAAGAATACTTACTGACATTATACTTTTCCCCGGATTGTCCGAAGACGATTTCATGGAACTTATGAAAGAGTCCATGGCAGGTAAGTTTGACAGATATGAACTATGGGAGAAGTACAAAGTCATACAAGACCCTCATACTTCTTTCAGAATTCATATCTACGCAAACAAAGTTCAAATTGTAAAAAGTCAAGCTTGAAAAATAAAGAGTTCATTTACTCTGCTTGTTTGAAGTTGTCAAAATACTCTGTTATTTTTTCCTTCAGTAGCGGTAAGTCTTCTTTGAAGGTAAGTATTGTACAACCTTTCATATCATAGTGTGTTTGAGGTAACGTATCTTGAACTATTTGTTTCACATCTTCATTCGGTGTCATTGAAATCGGTAAGTTTTCGCGATAGAACCAATTTCTGTCAGATTTGTAAATCTTAGCAAGGTCGTAAAAGCTTTTGTTGTTTCTTCTGACTAAATGCAACATAACCATATCTCTGTCTTCTTCTTTCTCCAACTCTTCAGTATAAATCATATACTTATAGTTCTTTTCCTTTCCTTTTGGTACCGAACGTGGTATTCTTTTCTGAATGTTTTTGTCTTTTGCTTCAAGCTTGTTCTCTAGCTCTTCACGTTCTTGTCTATGAATTTCGTCAAGAAGTCTGTAAATATTCCAAGCATAACGAGGCGAAGCCCACATTGCAACAGCATTTACAAGAAGTCTATGTACATAATATCCTCTCAAATTTATTGGCAAATTTTTACGATTTTCATGTGTTTTATGCATGGCCGAAAAAAGTCGGTCTAGAGAAATTTCACTCAAAAGTTCTTGTGTGCTTTGGTTTTTGAACCAGTCGTCTGCGTGTTTAGTGTCTGGAGCAAAACATGCTGTCAAAATACTTTGCATTTGGTACATATCGTCTTTGACCGAACGAATGAGACGGAGTTGTTTGTTAAACTGAACCCACTTATATTCTTCATTTATGGCTTCATGAACGATAGCAGTTGTTGTGTTCTCTGTTGTTGACATATCTGTCCTTACATACAAAATAAAAAAATAAATAAAAATAAAATTAGCGTTATTTTTTCTATCTTAAGGAAATTCACTGTTTTCATAGAGTTTTGGCGACTAAGGTTTCTTACCTACTCGCTGTTCTTCACTGTTTTCATACGGAATTCAGCAAAAATATAATTTAGGTGAAGAGGTGCGATCTCACCTGTTTTTTCACCTTTTTTTTCACAAGCGTTTTACATGGTAAGCGTTATTTTTACATTATGACACGAAGTGAACATTGACACTTCGTCAAAAAAATCCCTGAAATCATATCTTACATACAAAATAAAAAAATAAAATGACACTTTTTCATTAGATAACTGTTATTTTTTGACGAAGTGAACATTGACACTTCGTCAAAAAAATCCCTGAAATCATATCTTACATACAAAATAAAAAAATAAAATGACACTTTTTCATTAGATAACTGTTATTTTTTGACGAAGTGAACATTGACACTTCGTCAAAAAAATCCCTGAAATCATATCTTACATACAAAATAAAAAAATAAAATGACACTTTTTCATTAGATAACTGTTATTTTTTGACGAAGTGAACATTGACACTTCGTCAAAAAAATCCCTGAAATCATATCTTACATACAAAATAAAAAAATAAAATGACACTTTTTCATTAGATAACTGTTATTTTTTGACGAAGTGAACATTGACACTTCGTCAAAAAAATCCCTGAAATCATATCTTACATACAAAATAAAAAAATAAAATGACACTTTTTCATTAGATAACTGTTATTTTTTGACGAAGTGAACATTGACACTTCGTCAAAAAAATCCCTGAAATCATATCTTACATACAAAATAAAAAAATAAAACTAACTTTATTTTCTGACTTTCACAAAAGACCAAAAATAAACGCTTTACATGTATTTTTCAGCAACTTCGTCAAATAATTTTATAGCTTTATCTATCTCATCTACTTCAAACGTTTCTTTACCTTTTATGGGAGCACCATACATTTTCTCAAACTTTTCAAGTAGTTCTGTTTCTGCAGCTCTCATATCATTAACTAACACAACCTTGACTCTATTGACTGTACTGTCATATCTTAGAGTTATATTATATGTCCTTCCTATCTTATATCTTTTTGTATTGAAGTCCTTCGGTTTCTGAACGATGTAAAGTAAGCCTTCACTGCAACGTTCCGTATCGAATGAACCATATGTTATGAAGTTATATCCAACAACTGGGTCAATCCATAACAAAACTATTGGTATAAGACTTTTGTCGATGAGATATGCTGTAGTTCCATAGAATCTTACCGATATCATAAGCTCAGGATTTCTTGTCAAAATTTTCTGAGTAGAAGCAATTCCAACCCAATGGTATGTTTTCTTTCCAGATGGAGATAAAATGTCTGACAAAGAATATTTGTTGTATTTCTTTGAGTATCTTACGTTTAAATCACCTATTCTAACCACTTTGGTGTCATTGTCTATCTTTCCAACTGTTTCAAACTCAATGTTTGACATCTCTGTCTTTAAGTCTGCATAGTCGTTTCTCATTCTTTCTATCTCTTTGACGGAGTAGTTATATCTCCTCATTGCTGCTTTACATTTAGAACATTGCGGGTTCATTTTTGCGTTATATTCTGAAACCTTACCTGCTAAAACAACTAAAGCGTCAATGGTTTTCTTTAACTCAAAAGTTGCTGGTTTTATCTGTTTGTTCCATACCTTCCCTCTTCTATCTTTATCTCTTATCTGCCATACACATTCAGCAACTAACGAAACAAAGTTGTCGTAGGTCTTAAATTCTTCAGATTTATATATGTCAGAAACATTCTTATATACCATGTCGCAATCTTTGTCCATAACCTTATGGTTGCAATGAAATCCTAGAAACTCATAGTTTACCTTTCGTATGAACTTCTTTATTTCTACTGAGTCAGTTGCTTTGACTTCTATTTCATCGAATTCAGGAATGGTTAGTTTTTGTTGCTGAATTTCAGGCAATTTAGGCAAATGGTCAATAATGTCCTGCATTTCATAAAGATACTGTTCATTTGTTTCATCTTTCGCACTACAGTCTAAATTACTTGTTAAAAGTTCTTGCTTTATCTTCTGGATTTCTGTTTCAAAAGTATATGAAGAAGGAATGAAGCTTTTCATCTCTACTAACATTGACGTAGGATTCATGACTAACGAGTTTGGTGCTGTTGTTTGAAGTGTTGTTGTGCCGATTGTTGACATTTTTATTTTTTTATACAAAATAAAAAAAATAAAAAAAATAAAACTAACTTTATTTTTTATTTCGGGAAAATTCATGAAAATTCAAGAGGGTAGAAAAGAGGGTAGAAGACAGGTTAGATCTAACCATCTACCCTAAATTATATTTTTGGGTCCTTTACACTCATTACGAAGAAGTCTTGACAAACAAAGGGTAAACAAAGGGTAAAATAAGACTAAAAACTTAACGTTTAAAAAGTGACATTTTTATGAGCTCCGAGTCACCGAGAAAACTTGGTCAGATGTTAGCAGCTTACTTCCCTGAGGAGGATGGAAGCGTTACATACGTAAGGTTCAAAAACAACGAACCTGGAATTGCGTACAAAATTCGCAATTACATGACCGTGGAAGAGTACGAAAGGTTCCTACAAGAGAAACCAGCTCTAAACAACTCAGAAAAGAAAGAATAAAAAGTTTAACTCGTAATTGTTTATTTTTTTTACTTGTATGGGCAAGCTGCAAGAATGAAGTCGACTATCTCAGTCTTTGTTTTGACGAGCTGGACGGCTCTTGCGAGTACGTCTGTTTTGCGGTCTCCAGCTGGTGTCTGACCTTCGTAATTGCGCATGTTCTTGAGAGCTCCAACTGTAAATGATTGTAGGATGAAGAGTCTCTCAGACTGCTTGAGGTAGTCTTCACGGTCACGAACTGAATCTGTGGTACGAGTCGAATCGGTCGATTTGAGGGAAGAGACTGAAAGCCTGTCGTCTTCCATAGGAGCTGTAGCATACTCTTTGCGTAAACGGTTCAGACCTTCTTCGAACTCTTGGTCTCTCTTCGATTTGGATTGAGATTGGAATTGCTGGGGTGGAGCTTGCTGGAACATCCAAGGGTTGGGGAAGTAAGGCATAGGCTGAGGAGGGTAGTTCGGGAAGCCTTGTGGTGGGTAGTAACCTTGAGGTGGAAATTGGTAGTAAATCGGAGGTACTTGCTGGAACTGAGGTGCAGGGGCTGGTGCTTTAGGTTCCTCTGGTTTGGGAATGGACTCGGTTGGTGGGACGTCGGACATTCGTTTGTGTCCTGTGGGATGGAAAATATTTTTCTGTCGGAAGAAAAAACTTTTTCTGTCGGAAGAAAAAACTTTTTCTGTCGGAAGGAAAAACTTTTTCTGAAGTTCGACCAAAAAGTTCTCAATTTTCGAAAATTTGAATGGTTTACGGACGGACAACTGGAAGAGTTCTTCCTGTCGTCGGGAAAATTTTTTCCCTTTGTCCGGAAAATTTTTTCCAGTTGTCGGGAAAATATTTTCCTGTCGGATGGAAGGACTCGGAATACCAGAAGGATTTGACGAGGCAATTTACCTTATAGAGATAAATGAAGTTGTTAAGCAGTACTTGCGCAGGGTAATGAAGCCCAAGGTCAAGTTCACCGCTATTTCTGGAAGGGCTGCCTTGAATCTCGAGACTTCGACTGGAATTCCAATTCAAATACCAGAAAAAACTCCTTTCGACGACATAAAGGACGCCAAAAGAGAAACTCTTGTTAAGTTCCTAAACAAACGTCCTTGGATAAAAATACCAAACAAGGAGAACCCCCTACCCCATATGAAATTGGCAATTCAGTCTCTCCTTCACTTCTCGGGTCAGCCGTTCTACATAACCTGTGAAGGCGACATCCAACCAGTTCAGTCAACCTTAACGTTTTGAGTAAAAACATTTTTTTTTCATTTTTTGAATGAAGCAAGTTAAATTCGTCCCACACCAATCTCAATGGACCGATGAAGAGTTTCAAGCCATGGTTGAAGGCGTTGAGAACGACATAGACGGCGAACTTGAAGGAGCTCAAACCACAATTGCAACCAAAATTGCACGAGTCAAGGAACAGATAGCTCCACTTAAAGCTACCAAAGCTACTCTTGACCTCATGGATAGTTACCGTTTAGATGTCAAGAGTGGAATAAGACAATTAAAATTAAAACTTCTAAACTACGAAGCTATACTCCAAAAGTTAGCAGAAATGAGAAGACTTTACCAGAGCTACTTACATGTAAGGGACTTACCTTCAAGCAGTCCGACCAAAGATGAATTTTCTGACATTGTCCCAATTTTGTCCGAAAGTCAGCTCAGATGTTTCGAACTGCTCCCAACATATCCAGAATATGAACGTTTGCCTGAACTCTTCCGCAATCTCAAAAAACGTTTTTTGGTTCTCATGTTCCAAACTTTTATCGGAAGAGACAACAAACGTTCAGAAGAAGAACAAGATATTATTTTAAACTTGTTGTATGACATAACTGTCATAACAAGCTTTTTGAAGTAAAACCGCCATTCTCAAACCACTTCATTTTTTCGATGTCCGAACAAGCACCGAAGCCGAACACAATAGCAGATGTCCTTTCAAGGTTGCCAGACAAGCGCCCAGTTCAAATTCAAATTGCCCAATTGAAAGCTCATCTGACAAACACCATTAAGACTCTCCAAAGTAGTCTTATGACAGAGATGACCAATCTCAAAGCCGATGTCCTCATGAACCAAGCTTCCAATGAGAAATGCCTGAACGATTTCACGGAAACCTTGCGCAATTACGAGAGAGAAACCGAGACCTTGCCAGACTCATCTACCGTTTCTTCGAAGAGATAGACGCCATCTGGAAGGTACTCGGAAAGGACAGAACATGCAACACCGTACTTCGTGAGTACCAAATTGAAGAAGGAATTGTCGAGGAAGAAGAGGAAGAAGAGGAAGAAGAGGAAGAAGAGAAACACGAAGAAGGAAGCTTGGGCAACCCTTGTTGCCGATGACGGTTACGAAATTTCCCAACCCTACCCATACCAAATCCGCAACAAGGAGACAGGCAAGGTTCTTACCCCAGTCCTCAACAACTTGGGACACTTGAACCTTAACCTTCGGAATCGCGGTTCAATCTCCATGGGCAAGCTTGTCGCAATTCAATGGGTTCCAAATCCAGGCAAGAAGACGAAGGTCAGACACATTGACGGTGACAAGCTCAACAACCGTAAGGAGAACCTCGAGTGGTTCTAAGAGTAAAAAAATTTTATTTTAGGGGGAAACCCCAAGTAAATTTAGGTGTTTATTTGGATAAGTATGTTAAATTAAGGGTAATTTGCAAAATTAGTTCCCGACCTTTGAATTGGGCTCTTTCGTTATCCCAGTTGCGTAGGAGGTCGTCCCAGAGGAGTTGGTAGAATTGCCAATCCAAGGACGATTTGTCCTCCCAGGCATTGAGGATGTACTGCTCGTAGAGTTTCATGACCTCTGCCTTGCACCAGACACCCTCTCCCTTGGAACGTAAGGCTTCTTCGAAGTGCTCGAATGCGATTGGCTGCGTGACCATCCGAAATGACACTTTTTGTCCGTTTGGTCAATGTTCGTGTCTCGTGCCATAGTCGACGAAAATACAGACAAACAGGTTATATATGAGTTTGAGACCAAGAATGGTGTAACTCGACCTGTCCGATTCAAAGACTCCGAGGGCGACCATGAAATTAAACGGAAATTAGCTAGGAAGGAATATAAAATGGACTGGTTGCCACCACCTCCACCTCCACCACCTTTACCTGTTCCTCAAGTAAATAAGCCTTTCCCGTTCCCAAGAATTCCCACATTTTAATTCAAATTCGAATAAAAATTTTTTATTTCATGCAATGTTTTATTTCTGTGCCGTCTTCAAGTATGCCCCAGTACTTACGCTTGGAGAGGACATGAACTTCGGTGAAAATTTTGTCCAATTTGAATTGACCCATCTTTTCACCGACCATGCCCATTTCAATGAGTTTGTTGTATCCTTCTTCGTTCGTCATGAGTGCGTCAATGTTCTCATAGTAAACCACAACTTTGGATTTGACTTCGGAGAAGAATTTGTTGTAGTTGTCAAGGACTGCCTTTGCGAACTGAGGGTAAGACCAATGTTCGACAATAGGTTTTAATGTGGTTACTAAGCCACTTTGACCTTGAGTGAATTCGTACTTCAAAACAAAAGGAGAAAACCTTTCAACAAAGTTGTCGACCTTCTCATAATGTTTACTCTTCATCTCTTGAGGTTTCTTAATGGAATATCCCCATGTCGAATTCATAAGCAATTTGAGTGTCATTGCAAGTTTGGGGTTTGAAGCTTTCCTAATATCATACAGTTGTTGTATGACTTTTCCAACTGTATAGTTCCTTCCCGGGAACTCACCATCTTCGTTTGGAATTCCAGTCGGAATATATTGGACAAACCTCATGTATGCAGCGTTAAGGTCGACATAGTATATCTTTTCATCTGAGTCGAACTTGTCGCAACCAATTGGTCCAGTTTGTGGAAATTCAAGTGAGTCTCTTATCTTCTGAGAAACTTCTCCTGTTATCTCATAAACATCGTCGAAGCAACCTGTTTCATATAAAACCTTCTGACCTAACTCAGATGCTCTCCAATACAATTTGACGTCAATTGGATGTCTCAATGGAAGTTTGTTTATAGCATCTTGAAGTTCTTGCAACCTCATTGGAAGTTCTTCTGGTTCAGGTTGGTATCCGAACAATCCAACTCCTTTGGAATTGTGTACTTCTTTTGTACTAGAACTTTGTCTGGAACAACTTTTGGTCTTGCTAACAGTGAAAAGTTTGTTTCGTCTTTTGGTACAAAAGTTTCTGTCAGCTTGTCATCTGGAATTGGTTCCAACAAACCTTTCTCGAAAAGAATGTTTACAGCTCTGACAATGTTGCACTTGCCTTTTCCGAACAATGGGTTTGTAAGACTTTCGTTCAACATGAAGTGGTTGTGGACAATTGCAATCTTCAACCATGGTAAATTGTCAACAACATAGTCGTCATGTGAAGAACCTTTAGCTGTAGGTATGTTGACTCGGATATTGACATTTGCCAACGGTGCAATTTTTGCCAATTGACCTCTGAGAATGTACCTTGTCTTCACACATGACTCAAGATACTTCATCTTCTCATCTGTAACAAGACCAGAGTTCCTGAGACATGTAAGAACAAGGTTCATTGACAATTGTTTCAATTGAATTGTAAATTCCATACCTTGTCAAGTCAATGTCAGACTTATTTATGAAGGGAAGTATCCAGCATGTTGTCTGACTGCTTGAGGGTTAGGTTGGTACCATTCGAACTTGACACTTGCAATTCCTTCAATTGCATTCAAAATGTCTGAGTCGGAGTCAACCATTTGTTCTCTCTTTGTAGTCTTGAAAGCGTCAAGAAGTTTTGCAGCTTTGTGACATTGCCATTTGCATAGTAAATGTGACCATCCAAATCTGTTATGGTCAATCTGAGATTGTATCCTTTCTTATTTCCGTCTTGTATGGCAGCAAGTACACCCATGAAGCCTTCTTTGTTCTTTCCTTCGTCAAAGTTTACTGTAAAGGTTCGACCAGATGTAATTTGACTTCTAACTTCACGATACTTTTCATATGCATATCTTGTTCTTTCCATGGGAGCATGCATCTTCACCTCCTTTTTTCCTTCTCAAAGGATGCAATTGTTCGTCATGTTTCCAGTAGAATCTGGCAAAGCCGTCGTGTCCTTCAACTTGAGGTTCACTAACATCGAAAGGCATGTCCATAAGACGTTCTTCTTCTAACCTCTCTAGTCTGTTTGGATAATTTGCACGTGCTGTTTCCAAATCCATTTCGTAGCGAAGACCAGCCAGTTTGTCATAGACTTTTATGGGTCTTCCCTTCCTATATTTAAACTTCTTCGAAACTCTCCAACCATATCTTTGCAACTCTGCTTTTATTCTAGCAGATTTTCTATCCATTCTATATGGGGGCATTTTTATAAAAATAAAAAAATGTTTTTTTTCTTTACTTAACATAACCGCCTGCTGCCATAAGTCTTTGACGCCAACCCATACCAGCTAATGAAGGTTGACTTGGTTTAGTTTGGAAACTAAACTTTGGTTTTGGTTTATCTTCAGTTTTTGGTTTTTCTTCTTCTATCGGTTTTTCGTCACTTTTCGGTTCCTCTGACTTTACTCACTGCAGGAACAGTTGTGTCGTCAACATCTTCATAAATATCATATGCCATTTGTTTTTGTTTTCCTTTCAACTTTTTGTGTTTGTTGTAAAGTTTAGAATATTTCGACTCTAAGTCAATGAGATGTTCTATAATGAACTGTTGGTCAGTGAAGTAAACTTTTCCATCTGTTGTCTCGAAAGCTCCTTCAGACTTCAATATTTTATTTGTGAGAGTCTGTTTCTTTTTTGAGATACTAGCCGTTCCATTTCTATGAAAAGTGACTTTTATAGTTAGGGTTTGTATTTCCAGACCTGGCACTTTCTATTATTGAATTTTTCTCTTCATCTGTAAGTTCTTTGACAGGGTTTTGACAATGGTTCTGAACTTTTTGTTTGTGGTGTCAAATCTACCGTTTCAACTTCTTCGGTCATTTCATCTCAGTAAAAAATTTTAGTTTGGTTTGTTTTCAACTGGTTGTTGTTGTTTTTTAAGTCGGTCTAAAACTTCCTGAGGTATAGGAAGAACTTGACAAACACGTTGTGTAACTGCTGGAAGTCGACAAATCCATCTTGAACCCATTTGTCTCAATGCTGTATTGTTCATTTCATCTCAGTAAAAAACTTTACATTCCCCAAGTTTGAGGTGGTTGCGGTTGGTTATTGTTTACCCACTGTTGTGCATGGTTATATCCTCTGTTAAAGAATCTTTCACCTTGGTCCATATAGTGTCCTGCTTGGTTATAGTAGTCATTTGCTTTGTTATAATAGTTTCCTGCTTGTCTTCCTACATTGTCCATCCATCCTTGAACTTTTCCTCTTGTTTCAGGATTTGGAATAAGATTTGTTGCATCTCGTGCTACATCCCAACCTTTCTGTACAGTTTGTATAATAGGTTGTGCTTTCTCTTTAAGTATACCTAATGTACTCAAAATCTTCCTTCCAAACTCCAAATACACCTCTGGCTATTGTTCCCACTGCGGGCAAAAATCTGGATGCAACTCCTGCTAATGCGCCAAATAAACCCATTTCTTATGGTTAAAAAATGACGAATCCAAACAAGGACCCCTATGTTTCTAAGGCAACAAAAAAAGCACTCATGATAAAAATCTTTAGTTCAACACCAAATGCTTGGTTTATGGATATCTTGGAAAACATTCCGAGGTATAGAGAAGTTGGACCACCATACTGGCTAATATTTGTCGGTCAAAACACAAGATACTGTGAAGCCATACCATTACAGTCCAAAAATATTTTAGATATCTTAGCAGCTTTGACAATATTCGTTGACAAATACCATCCAACAAAACTGACATCTGACTGTGAAAGTTCTTTCAAATCAGATGATGTAAAAAACTATCTGCGTTCAAAAAAATGTAAACCAATATTTCATTGTCGACAAAACCATTCTGCTCTTGGTGTCATTGACGGTTGTATAAAAATGTTAAGAGACTTAAACCAACCACAAGGTGGTGAAGCAAATGAAATGTCATATGACGACAAATATAGACACTTCTCCATGCAAAGATGAGACAAGTTTTAAATATTTACAATAGCCGTAAACAAAAAGGTTTGGGAAACCACTCCCCCGAAGAAATGAAAAACAACCCTGACTTAGAGAAAGACTATATATTTAATAATTTAGTCAAAAGAGACAAACAAGAAAGAATGCCGGGCTTCAAACTTCAGAAAGGTGACAAAGTAAAAATAGAAATACCTAAACGCGACCCATATGAAAATACTATTGACTATGACAACAATGGGAACCCGACAGGTACTCACATTCGTGTTCGTAAAAATAGAAGAAAGTATACAAGAGAATATTATGAAGTTTTAGGCAAACATGGCAAAATGTACAGACTGCAAGCAGAAGATAAAACTACTATTGTCAGACCTCGTTTCAAACTTGTCAAAGTTCAAGGTGGTATACTTTCAAAGACAGTTCCTAACAAATATAAGACAACTCCTGACGAATATGCTAAAGAAGTTGAAAATGACGACTAAGCAATTCTATACCATGCGTAAACTGTCATGTAAGGTGGCATGTAGTCTTTACTTTGTCCCGTTGTTTGCGTATATCCGAAACGCGATGTGTATGGTTTCCATCTCCCTGAGTGTCACCCCAGAAACAATTTATAGCAAACTGAACGTCGTCTTTAACATCATATCCTTTACCTTTTTTCATTGCTGACCAATCCCAAAATTTATGCTTATGCCAACCTGCTTGAGATGTACTTAAATCTATGTAGTGACTATGTGCAGGTAAATTTTCACCTGAAATCGTTTTACTTCCCCCTGTTTCCTTTGAAGAGTTTGCACAATACAAAAACCTGTCGACTATTTGAGTCCAAGTTCCAAAACCCAGAACTGTTTCTGGATTTGTTGAGTTCATTGACGTATAAATAGAGCCTATAGGATATAATGTTTGAAGCATTTCTGTCTTTAATGTTTGAAGCTCTGTTTTGTCAGCCTTCTTGTCATATAAATCTTGAGCAGTGAATTTAGTATTATATTCATCCTTCATGACATAAACATCTTTACATCTAATGTTTCTCATCGTCGTTATGTCGTCATCCGATGTTAAACCTTGTGGAAAGTTAGGAGGTTTACAATATATTGCATCCCCACCAGTTTCTTCAACCGTTCCTTCAATACTTTCTATAGCAACAGTTGTAAAACTTGTATGTGTATGGTTCTTGTCTGCTTTCTTCTCTAACTCATCGTTAACATAAGTTTTATCTGCTTTAAGGTCTAAACATCCTGAAACCCATCCTGTATCGGCTTTAACTTTAAAAGTCTTCGATGTCCATTCATGGTACCAGTCAACCCTTTCTTTCATTTCGTTATCTTTTTCATCCACATATTCCTTATCCGCCTTCTTCACTAACACACTAGCCATAAGTCCCTTATCTACCTTATTTTCAAGGCTAACGTTTAAGTCTGTTATTTCAGATATAGAATGTGTATGAGTCTTTTTAGAATATTCGTTTTCAGCTCTTGTCACTTCACTTGACATTTTATTGTCAACATATGTTTTGTCTGCTAGTTCAGGATGAGTATGTTCTTTTGTTGCATAAGCATTGTTAGCTCTTTCTTCTTCTTTTGCTATTGCATCGTCTACATATCTTTGTCAGCTTTGTTGTCAACATCTGCTTTCAAAAGAAGTTCATTTAATAGGTTTCTCGTTTAAAGTTCCTTTTGTTGGATTTATACAGACAGTATGGTTCTTCTTGTCTTGAAATAGAAACTCATCTGTCATTGGGTTTAATGTCAGTTTTAAGTTTCCTTCTTTCAATGACTCAGATATCTTAGAATAGTTTGAAAAGTTTGTTGTGTTTCTTATTTAGAGCTTGCATAATGAGTTGTCGGTTGTGTTGTATTTCTCTCATAGACGCTGTTTCATTTGACATTTTTATTCTAGATAAAATATGCTTCCAATAGAAAAAGAAATTCAAGAGTTGCTACAACTAAACCATTAGATGAACTTTTTACTAATGTCGGTCAAAAGTTTGAGACAGAGACCGTAAAGC